ACACTCCCGGGAAAAGTGCCAGTACGGCTCCAGTTACTGCTCAGAATGACTGATCTCTTGGTTGTACGGCGTCGCTGACGCTAAACGCCGAGGTTCCCAAAACTCAAACGTGAAAAGCACGCCGGCTAACGACCATGCTAGTTGGCTACCGCCGGGTGGCTGAAACAAGCTAACGCCGGTTGGGGTGGTTACTATTTAATCAGTTATGACAGTATTTAACAAGCTGCAGATCAAGAGGCAGCTAGATGTGACAAGTTGAAAAACTTACAAAGCGCAAAGCTTACCACGAGAAGGATTAATAACCCGAACAACGTGGAAAGCAGCTAGTTTATCGCGTTTCACGGAACGCGTGTCTGCAAAGCGGCTAATGAGCTAGCAGCCCAGCCACTGCTAGCTCTTAGCTAACGCAACCCCGTGGTGCCCCTGTACTCACCGGCAGAGTCGACGTTTGCCGGGTGTGCTTTCAGGCCAAAAGCCGGAACAAACTCGGCGGCGTTTACATTGGGCACAAATGGCTTAGCGTTCACATTTAGCGTTGTGAATGCTGATTCAAGTTGTCCGTCGATCGTGGCCTCCACATCGTCTTCTTGTTCCCAGGAATCAGGGGCAGTGTCTCTCGGGTCCATCGTGGTTGTTGGATTTTCACCGCCGTGAGATTTGAGCTGCGCAGTTGTTGAGCCACACGAGCGTCCTCCCGAAACCCGACGACGCCGTCAGCCCTGGCAATGCTGGAGAGCGTCCCAACTCCAAGTGTGCCGTTTAATCTCCGACTCAAGTAAAACCCAGCAGCCGGTTTCTGTCTGACCAGACGCCACAGAGGATGTTCGACTCAGCACTCCCAGAGACTGTCCGCGTGAGCTAATGCGTCCCCACAACCGCCGGCTACCCGCAGTGACCCCTGGGATATGAAGTCTTATTAAAAAACGAGAGAGCGTCTGCTTCGAAAGAATTTTCACACTAAGAACTACATTCCCCGAAAGACTACGGACACACGGTTTACGTCAAAAAATTTCTCAGCTTTGTAGAAACCGCAGATTCGAGTCAGATTTTGTTTGATTTTCTTGGAGGATGACTTTCGAAGGCTTATTCTTTCAACTTGATTAACTCTTTAATATGAGTTATATTTCTTGTTTGCTTGAAGAAGACATTATACTCGAGTACAAAAACACGCTAATGCACCCCCACCACACACACACACACACACACACACACACACACACACACACACACACACACACACACACACACACACACACACACACCGCTATATTCTAA